CTCTTTATTTAGTTTGCTAACTTCTTGAGGAGTGAAAGAAGGGGAAGTGTGGTGTAGAAAACCAAAATATTCCTGCCTTTGGTTTAAAGCTGATAGGTCTCTGGAGGGTGCTTTTTAATTTGGTTTGGTGCTGTCACCAGTCTGCTGCAATTGTCTCCCTGTTCCTGGGACTGAACCAAAGACCCTGCAGATAAGGCACAGAGTGGTTAAGGCTGGTGTCTTACACTAATGTCTGCTCGGAGCAGATGGCTCTCTTTGTTTACAACACCTCAACACAAACTGAAGAATAAAGCAAGATACCTGCTCTTTCTTGAAAAATAGAAATGTGGGAGCAGTGAGTTCATGGCTCCTGAAATACTTCAGGAATAAAACTGCTTTCTTCAAAAGCTACGTAGCAGGAGCAGTTGCTGCTCCCTGTGTCATCCAACGTGTGCCACTTGCTTGCCTGTTTAAGTTGTTCATGTAGGGCCATATATGTTGGCTCTGAAATTTGAATTATATTGAACTATTACTCTGGCTCGTGTGTTTCTACTCACCTTTTAATTAATTTTTTTATAATTTTGAGTTTCTACAAAATACAGGAACATTAATTTCCTGCTGTGATCAAGTAGTGTCACTGGCAAGGAGAGGGTGGGAAAGGTGGAATCTCAGGCCTAAAGAGCTAGAAATTCAGAAACCTTGTTCAGAAATCATTTGCAGTGAAACAAGGGGTTTGAAGCTGATGAGCTAACAGGCAGTTAATTGCCTGGTGCCGTGATGATGATACGGCTGGAAAAATAAATATGCTTGCTAAATCTTTTGAGTGGCCTCAGAATGGAGGTGTTTCAGAAGATACTCTCTCACTTTCAGGGACAGACACAAATACACAGGCTCCAGCTTCGTTTTCCTGCGTGCTGCTTTATTCTTCCCATTGCTCAGAAGGGTGTTGTATGCTGTATTCCACCTGTGATGGCTTAGCCCCGTCGCCGTTAGGAGAACATGGAGCTGCAAAACTGACTGGTGCCAAGACAGATTGTGTGGAAAGCTTTGTAAAAATGACCAAGTACTACAAATTTTCAATAGGCTTGCTAGCTATTCAAGCACCTTCCATGTCTCTGCCTCTGTCAACGAGTAATGTGCTCAGCATTTCCTCAAAGGGTGGTTTGGAGCTCCAGGTGTGTGACCAAATGATGTAGCCTCATACGTAGTGAGCGGTCTCTGTATGTGCTGCAGAAACAGATCTCCAGCACGTGGGATTGCTCAGTCGGTTGTTCTTGACTTCATCCTTGTTTTGCTAGAGTTGGTAGTTGTTAGACTTCAGAAAGGAAATTCAGGATGCTAATATAGATTCCTTAAAAACTGGGATGACTGAATGACTGGTGTCCCTGCCCATGGCAGGGGGGGTGGGACTAGATGATCTTTAAGGTCCCTTCCAACCCAAACCATTCTGTGATTCTATGATTACCAAAATACCTTGCTGCGTGTTGTCAGCAAGAAAAAGTTACAGGTGGGTCTGTTGAGAGATGTTGGAATGGCTTGTGTGCTATTGCTAATATATGGAGTATGGTGTGAGACACTGCTTTAAGTGTTTTGTCATGTTTTGTCAGGACCTGTTTGATGTATGGTCTGTCCAGAGAGGTTTGCTAGTGAGTGCATCGTGTAGCTTAACTAACTTGTTCAGCCAGTCAGTAACTCTTGCTGTATCTTGGGTCTTTTTTTGTCTTGCCGGTGTCCTTTGCAGTTTGTTTTGCTTTGAGTGTGACTGTGGCAGCAACTAACAAATATTTAAACCTTTTGGAAAGTCAGGTGTGTTAGATTTACTGTTGTCCAGTTCTTTAAAAAGAAAAAATTATTAATTGTTTTCTCCATATGGAAATTACAAGTGTTCCTCGGGCGTGTAAATGCGTGGCTGTTGACATAAATAAAAGGCTTGGGTTTTATGTTGTGTAACTGGTGTTAACGTCTAACCTAGAAAGATTTCCTTTTTCTTCTCCTTTTAAATCTAATTGCATTTATGTTAACATCAGTCTTTCAGTAAATATTGGAAACAGCAGGATTTGGAAGATAGGGGGTTATATAGTGCAATGTGAAGGCTGTACCTTTGGGAAATCTAAAGTAAGCAGCCAAATAATCCAGATTCTAATTCAGTGGGTGAGGCAAATATGTCGTATTTAAAATTACAATAGATAAGAAGCAATCTGACACCAGAAGCAAACAAGAAACAGCTCAAAGCCCTAATCACCTGATGTTTTTAGTCGCTCTGGTCATCTTGTTTTTAAATACATACATAAAATATATTGCTGCAGAATTTTTTTACTTAGTTTGAATGTAATTGCAAAAGAGAAAAATGGGTTCTGGATAAAGAAATAGGCTATTCATTCCCTTTTAAAAAAAAAAAAGGAAGCAAGTGTTCTTATAAAACTTAATATTCTGGTCTAAGCTGGAGCACAGAAAGAACCACCCTGGTTTGGCCTGCAAGTTGTATGCTGATTTCCTTGTGAAAGAAGAAACTACCTGAGAAGTTATTTTTGTATATTGTAAGAAGCAAGAGGGTTAGGAGCTGGATTTTGGTTGAAGAGAAGGTATTTTTTCAGAGCAATACCTGGTGTGTGCATCCATCCCCAGCTCTTTGAATCCTGTGAACACACTGAGTCGATTAAACGTTAACAAAACTGTGAACGGAAGGTAGTTGCTCAGTGGCTGCCAAGAGGTGAATTGTCGTCGCTGTTAGCGTTATGTGTTCAATTACACATTCTTAGAGCAGCGTGGCTGCTGTGTGATCTGTGTCCTAGAGAAAAGGACGTGTCGAAAGCAAATATGCTTTCCTCAGCTGAGACTGTTTCCCTTCTCCTTCTACTCATTCTCTTAAAACAGAAACCTGACAGTCAGTCATGCTCCTGAAAACATCTCTGCACAGCAGCAGGGCTCTGACACAGGGAAAAACTTGTTTTGCATGGGGCTGAGAAGTGCCATACCAATGGCACTACACAGGCTTATCCGCTCTGCGGGCTCTTGCCATCTGTTTTGTTTACTGATGCAAAGGTTTTACTGCTCCCAGTATTTCTGAGCCAGGCACCCCATGAAAGAGTCATCAGTGAATTGTTCTCTTAGCTCTCATTGTCAGCTAGTAAATAGCGGGGATGAAGGTGTCGGGGTAAAATGAATGGATAAATTTCCTTCCCTTAGAGAAACGGAGCTGATAGATCCTGTTTAGAAACAACAAGAAAACACTTCCCTCAACTTAACTTATTCCCTTAACTTAAAGCAATAGGGTTTTTTGTCTGAATTGCTGTGCTAGAAGTCAGAAGGGGCTAAATGTGGAGCTTCAGTGTTACTAGAGAAAAGACATTCTCCAAGCATAGGTTGGTCATGCCACGGCAAGTATGGCTTTCAAAAAATAAAAGAAGTAAAAAAAAAAAGAAGTAAAAGCTGTCCCACGTGTTATCACGGCGTGGGCTTTGCTGGTGTTATTTGTGCAGGAAGCCCTGATGGAGAGAGGCTGTTTCAGCTGAAACCATGGGGGAGCACCTGGGGAGAACTTTTCCACTGCCCAAATGGCATTGACCATCAAGCTTAATTCTCAGTGGGATTTAGGAGTCCAAATCATAGAATCATAGAACCCAAATTACGGTTTTGGCCCTTAGGTCGGGGGGAGGGAGGGAGTATTTCAAACAAACACACGTTGGAAAACATCTATGTCCCTGCATCTCTATTTGCGTATAGTTACGTTAGCTAATTACTTCACCATCTCCCCGTGGGGACTGTTGTCTTGTCCATTTTCCTTTGTGTGCCTCAAAACACACTAGTGTGGCAAATGCCCCCCTGCCCCCTCCCAAACCCTGTATCTCTGTTGTGGCTGTTGGCAGGTTCCAAGTCCCACTTCTCAGCTCCTGTAAGGAGGTGGTACCCTCGAGGGCAGGACAGCGAGATCGTGATCCCGTGTAATCTTCCCTGCAGCTAACAGGAACAAGCTTCTCTCTCATCCAGACCCTGAGTTTCATAGACCTTAGAGGAACCTAATTGTCTTGGAGACTTTGTGTAGGATTGTCTCTTGCTATGAAAGCTTGGGAGAGGAAAGACTGGGGACGAGCAGGGTGTCTTCATAGACCTTAGAGGAACCTAATTATCTTGGAGACGTTGTGTAGGATTGTCTATTGCTATGAAAGCTTGGGAGAGAAAACACTGGGGACGAGCAGGGTGTTGTGCACTCGTTTCCCTTGTGAAACTACGTTGAATATGTCCGTATTGCCCTGTGTGTATGTCTGTGTAAAGACATTAGTACAGTGTAAAAACCTTAGTACAGTATGTCAGTCTTTATTGCCCTGTGTGTATGTCTGTGTGGTAAAAACCTTAGTACAGTGGGTCAGTCTCGGACAACCCCTTCAAAAGGCACCTTAAGGGATGTGTTTGTCGACAAGATGCATTTACTTTCTGGTATGCAGACACTACACAGCAGACAGGTTGGTAGGCCAGCGGAGCAAAGCCCTCCAAGGTCTGTTGTTGCTGTAAAACATGACCCAAGATCTGAGGTGAATTGTCTGAAATTGGTAAATACTTTTGCCTGTGCTGATTGTTTTCATGACCAGTGCAATAAGTTTGCCAGAGCAGATTACCAAGGCAGAAGCACTTCAGGAAATGAGTAGTTTGCTTTTAAAAGAAAATTTAAAATGTTTCCAGCAAGCTGGCTCCCGTTTCCCTGGAGAAGGAGCGGCTGCGTAATGAGTGTGGTGGGAAAGCTGGTTCTAGACATCACCTGCATCCATCGGTCCCTCCTCCATGCCCCCAAAAATTCTAATACAGTCTTGTCAGACAACTTGTGCTGGAGGAGTAAAGCTCTGACTATTAATCAATTTTGAGTGTTGTTTGAAATGTTAGATCTGAGTTTAGCCATTACCTTCAGTAAGCACAGAATATGTTTGCATCAACTCTTGCTACGTGTGGCTGTGGCGCATGTGGAATAAGTGTTGACTTCAAAAGAGTGTATTTCACGTTTTGTTTTGCATTTGTCTTTGGACCTGCAGGTTCCCCTGGAAAACACGCGGATAACTCAGCCAACAATCAAGGAAATAACTTAGGGACCCCGACCAAGGCTGGAAAACTGAGCCATGCTTTTAGAGATCCCCGGCCAGGGAGGAAAACTGCAGAGGGACAAGTGACAAAAGGTGGTGATGAGTCTGAGAGTGATTTTGAATCTGATCCTCCTTCTCCCAAGAGCAGTGAGGAAGAAGAAGAACAGGAGGATGAAGAAGTCTTGCAAGGAGAGAGTGGAGACTTCAATGATGACAATGATACAGAACCGGAGAATTTAGGTCACCGTCCTCTCCTCATGGACTCTGAGGAAGAGGAGGAGGAAGAGAAGCAAAGTTCTGACTCCGATTCTGATCGTACCAAGCAAAAATCTGTGGAAGGGCTCCTGAGCAGTAGGTTCAGAGATGGTGTGGGCAGTGGTGAAATCAAAGAACCCACTTCAGTGCACACGTCCTTGTCCGAGCTGTCAAATACTGTAGTCCAGGTGAGCCCGTGCCAAGAATTTGATGTGTTTGGGGCAGTGCCCTTTTTTACTCTACAGCCTCAGACAAGAGAGAAGATGGACAAAGACGTCTCTTCTCAGACGGCTTTTCCTGGCCTGAACCAAGAGCAGGATGACTTTGATGTTTTCACAAAAGCCCCCTTCAGCAAAAAGGTGTCTCAGCAGGATGGGCAGGTGGCGGGAACCGAGCCTCTGCTCTCTCCCACCTCTCCGCGTAGCGTCGATATCTTTGGCTGCACCCCATTTCAGCCTTCCCTTCTCCCCAGGACCGGTGGGAGTAAAGAGGACCTGTTTGGGCTGGTTCCTTTTGAAGAGATCACGGGGAGTCAGCAGCACAAGGTGAAGCAGCAGCGTAACCTGCAGAAACTTTCTTCCCGCCAAAGGCGCATGAAGCAGGAGGTCTCGAAGAACAATGGCAAGCGCCACCACGGCACCCCGACCACCACAAAGAAGGCGTTGAAACCGAGCTACCGCACCCCTGAAAGAGCCCGCCGGCACAAGAAAGCAGGCCGCAGGGATTCGCAGAGCAGCAACGAGTTCCTGACTATCTCTGACTCCAAAGAGAACATCAGCGTTGCGTTGACTGACAGCAAAGATCGAACCAACCCTCTGCAGACAGACGAGAGTCTGCTGGATCCTTTCGGAGCCAAACCCTTCCACCCACCGGACTTGATGCGGCATCCCCAGCATCAGGGGTTTGGTGACAACTGCGGGGATCACGGCGCAGTAGTAGTGGCTGGCAGACCTAGGCAGAGCTCCTTGCACGGAGCCATTCACGGCGGCGAGGGGCTGAAAACAGATGACTTTGGCGCAGTACCCTTCACAGAACTGGTTGTGCAGAGTGCACAGAGCCAGCAGCAACAGGCGCTGGAGTTAGATCCCTTTGGAGCAGCTCCCTTTCCTTCCAAACAGTAAATGCTTCCAATGGGTTCCCCGCTTCCACCTCTCCAAGCTACTTAGCAGAGGTTTTAATTAGTGGAGTAATTTATCTGGTTGTACTGAGGGACCTGGGTTGTACAGTTTGTTCGAGTTCAAGGCATGGCCAGGTGAAATTCAGAATGATGGCAAATTCTTACTGGTCTCTTTTGGAGAAAAAATAGAAAAAACCCAAACCAGGAGTGTCATTTTGTTATGACAGATGGCTCCCAGAATGAAAAGAGAAATCAGCTATGAATCATTGTCTGTCACTGACTTTGGGCCCTGGAACATATTGTCGTTCTGCACTTTCGCGTTGCCTTTTCAGTCTTCTGTGATGTGCTGAGATGGAGGGAGGGGGGCGGGCAGAGGGCACACGGAAAACATTTTCCATACGTACAGGTAGGCTAACGGGACCGTGGTGGCTCTTCACATCTCCGTCGCAGTAGACCTAAGAACCAAAATATACTAATGTCCAGATTCATCTGCTGGAAATAGTCGAGTCTTTTGCTTCTTAGGTGAAAACTACCTTTATTAATCACAAAAATAAAGAGGCCAAGTCCTCAAGGGGCTATGGCCCAGAATTCCAGAGCACAGCTACGTCTTGGGACCTGGTAGACATCTATGCAGCTGCAGAGGTGAAAGGCAGATTGGTTTTTTTTTGTGTGCCTAAGCGTTAAAATGTTTATTTTTTTTACAGTAAGTGCCATTAATGTAAAATAGCAAACTGGAAGGTTAGAGTTAAAACTAAAGATACAGAGAATCTAACGCTTTGCGAGACGAAAAGCCTGAATGTAGGGGCGTAAGCCAGCAGGGATGCAGCCGGTGTTTGCAGCACTTTGAAGACTACTCAGTACGCCAGGAAGAGCCTGGTTTACACGAGGAAATCGTTTGGCACATATGGAGTATTTCAGATGACTGGTGCAGTTGACTGTGACACGTAACCATCAGATTTATTTGATTGCAAATTGGGATTTGTGTCTGGAAAGACCTTTTCCTTATGGATTTTTATTGCAAAGAACACATGAATCCTTTCAAACACGTTGGGTTTTTTTAAAAGAATAATTTTATGAAATGACTGTACCATGATGTTCTTGTTCTGCTGAATCTATTATTGTACTTACATGTGTTTTCTAAGAAAGATTTGCTGAATGCACTGAGCTTTGGAGAAACGTCTCTGGACCCGGATGTGTTTGAGAACAGCAGTAAGCAGCAGGCAGCTTGCAGAAGCTGATTGCTACCGTACCAGTAACCTGCATTTCACACCACGAAGCCTTACAGGCAGGACTCCCGTCCTGCTGCACAGTACCTCGGAGACTTTCAAGGTGCACAAGACGTGGCTGCGAGCTTGGGAGCGTGCGGTGCCAGTGGGTGATGGGGAGGTGACGTGAACGGACTCGCTGAGGACAAGATTTCGGTGCTGTGTTGTAGAGGTACATGCTGTGCATGGGCAGGACAGCTTCTCTGTTGCCTCGCAACGTGTGCCAAGCCACGTATGCCGTCTGCAGAGCAACTTGGGGCAGTCCAGTTTCCCTGCCTTTTTGCCCTGGCAGTCCTAGAGGGGAAGCAGAAGGAAGGAGTTCCTCTGCTTGTCTCAACATTATATCCTTGTCTGCTGAACGCTGATGAGTAGATAATTGAATGTTTCCATATGGAGGATGTAAGCGTTTGTGGTTGTCCCCGTTTCACAGGAGGTGAAGTGAAATATTTAGGGTTGTGGGGTTTTTTCCCCCTGAAGTCTCCTGCTGGTTATACAGTTGTTCTGAGATCTGGGGGGTGGGAGATCCCTTACAATATTTGTTGAAAACACCACATTAAAAGCAAGTCACTTGACTCCTTTGGGAGTTGGTTTGATAGAACGCTCCTGCGGATATATGAGAGAGCTTCCCCTAGTCCTGGAATTTGAAGTAGCTCGTAGGTATCTGTACACCTTCATTACCTTTATCTTCCTCATGTTCATTTTTCTCACAGGGTGAAAGTGAACTATTACAGCTGTGCTTGTTGAGCATGCCTTTTTCAGGCTTAGAAATTGAGCTCTTAGGAGGTAATGAGTAGAAATGTTTCAGCTCTGTTTGCACAGGAGTTGGCTAGGCTTTATCACTACTGTTCTCACCTGGGTGTTTTTGTGCCAAAGGCTGTGAGAAGCGCACACCAAGTTTTGTAGCATTTTCTGATACTCAGGTTAACTTTTGCTTTAGGTTTTTTCCCCCCCCCTTCTGCGCGTGCTTATGAGCTGCCTTCCTGTGGTTTCCTTCTGAGCTGGTACCTGCCTAAAGAGCTCTTGGGACGGAACGCTATGACAGACGGGGCAGGTGGGTGGGAGCAAAACGTGAGTAAAACAACAGGCAGCTGACCCGTGGTCTTAAAAGTCCTTGCCGAAGCCATGCAGCCGCTGCTTTCTGGGGTAGAATAGCAACTTCAGGTCTTGCTCGGCCGTTTGGTGCCAGAGGAACGGGTTTACGATGTAGGTGGGACTGAGGCTCAGCTCCGCTGCCTGAGAGGAGAGGTGGTTTGCCGGTGGACACAGGGAAAAGGCTGCGCATCATCAGACTTGGTCCAGGCCTAAGTATTCGTGTCAACTAAGAACAGAAGGAAGTGTGTTTGGGTTTTGTTTGTTTACCCGGAGACTCCAGGCTGAGGAGCGCTGCAGGTTTTCCTTGCGTGGCGGGCCGTTTTTTTTTTTGGCAGAGGGTCCCTAAGCAGCTATACTGCCGTTCAGGAAAGCTGAAGTGAGGTTGGGCACAGAAAATGAGCAACCAGGTAAAAGCAAACTGTAAGCCCAAGTTATGCTAAAACTGGCACAATGCCTCTGGCTGTGCATGAGCTCTGGCCGATGATACTTGCTTTCTGATGGCCTTAATAAACCTTGCTCTTTGTATTCTAGTTACGAAACAGGGTGTTTTTGCATAAATACAACTTTTTTGCTTCTAGAGTTGAAATTATTTGACCCTTTCTTGTGACTGAGAGATCAGTCTGCCTCGCCGAGTTGACTTTGTGTGGTATGTGTTGTTTATACACAACGAAGCCTAAGTTTGGGGTTAACTCCAGCCAAGTTCCACTAGTCAACAGAGGTGAAATGTGGTACTGTCGGGCAGCGTGACATCCTGTTGCCTTTATTTGGTGTTGTGTGCTTCTCATGGAGTGTATCATGACCTCACCTGAAATCCAGGAAAGACGTTGCTGCATCAGACATGCCGTGCTGTCTGTGAAGGCAAAACGGCGAGGTAAGGAGCCGCTACTTCCCTTCCAACCGAAAATGCCGATTGATTTGTACAGCTTTTCTTACAGCATGCTGAACCACCGATCCACAGGCCTTTTAGAATCAGCTGCTTGAGAGAGAAATCCTGCCAAAAGGTACTGAGAAGCCCTTCATGGTTGCGGTTATTCGAAGGAAAACCAGAAGGTCGTTGTTTCTTGAGACCCTCCAACGGCCTCGAGATGCGCGCAGTGGCTTCGGCTGACCTGCGTAACGTGGGACCCGTGAATACCGGCTTCGGAAGAAATAACTGTTAATCGTTCTGGGTGTCCCAGTTAGTAAAAACCCAAGTACTGTGAAAATAAGTTGATATATTTGCTACTGTGAGAATAAGAATTTATCTGGAGGTTTTTATATTATATTGTGTATTTTTATATATGAAAAGTATATATAAAAGATACACATGCTCACACACATCACGTATCTTGGAGTTGCTGTGATTTTAGTAACACAGCAGCCACAATCGCTGTCGTGTGACTTGAGGGAGTATGAGCAAAAGCTGTAAAAGAATAAGAAGTGCAGAGGGTGGCTGCTGCGTTACTTTTCTGTAGTGCTTATTTCGAAAGGAAAATCAAGGAAATGGTGTGTATAGCTAAATTTGTGACTAAGGCACCACCTACTATTAAAGAGCATAAAAACTACTTTAAAATTGCTGGCATTCAGCTTTTAAGTGCACTTTCCTGAACTACACTTCCGTATCTTGTTAGACTTCAAGTTTCTAAAGCTTTTTTGTGTACCACTAAACAGAGAACTTTTTAACTTTTTTGTCAATCTGATGTACGTCACAAAATACTTGCAGTTGTTAAATAAACCAACATGGTAACGGTGACCTTGCAGATCTTAGTTTGCACTGTTAAGGATTCACATTTAGGCTTTGATTTACACGCTGAAAGCAGTGCTGCTTCTGCCGATTGCTTTTTGTGGCTGTAGGCTCCTGCCACTCGTACAGTGCTTTAAACTACTTGTATTTGCTGCCTGCTCATCTTTGTCCAACTTGTTAAAAGCCTGTTGATCATGTACTGTTTTTAATTCCTTAGGTTCAGTACTGCTCTTTAAAGCCTTCCTGCAGAACAGTTTTGACAGGATGAATCCCGATTCCTTGGCGGTAACTCAAGCTCGGTCCTGTTTCTGTAGCCAAAATGTTATGTTCCCGGTGCTACCTCCATGGACTTAGTTCTGCACCTAATCTTCTAGACATCATTTTGAAGTGATCTGACCCCCTTCTAGCAGTTGTTTACCAGAGCAGGTTTTTTGAATGCTGCTTGTGCTGATTCTACTCTTAGGTAAGCTGAATTAAGGATGAGAACAATCAAGAAAAGATGGAGTGGCAGTGGGACTCGATAGACGGGAGCTCACATCCCGGCTGTTCTGTCTTACGCCTGTGTCCCTGCCCATGGCAGGGGGGTTGAAACTGGATGGGCTTTAAGATCCCTTCCAACCCAAACCATTCTGTGATTTTGGTCTTAATTTGGTTACAAGGAAATACAGTTTCATTGAAGGCTTCATCTCAAATGAAAATGAACAACTGTGGCTCTAAGTTCTTGGTTTGAACAGTCAGTTTTTCATGGGTGGTAAGGTCTCCCATCTGCACACTGCCTGTGGTCTAAAGGGTTGGCCAAGTGCAAGTGAAACAGGACTGGGGGCAATCCTGACGGTTACTGGTAACAAATGGTCTGTGGGTGCTGGCTGTGTGCTGCCGGACAGGATGAGAACAAGCGCTTGTACCGGAGGGTGCAGTCATCCCTGCGCGCTGTGCAGCTGCCTGCTGCGGGCAGGGCACACGAACTGGCGCTGCTTTTCCGCCTGTGCCAGCTTGAGAGAAGGTTCGTTGGTTTGCAGCCCCTGAAGTTACAAAAGCAGTTAAAAAACCTACAAGGGCCTACAAGGAAGCTGGGGGGGGACTTTTTACAAGGGTCTGTAGTGACAGGACAAGGGGTAACGGGTTTAAATTGAAAGTGGGGAGGTTTAGATTGGATATCAGGAAGAAGTTCTTCACAGAGAGGGTGGTGAGGCACTGGGACAGGTTGCCCAGAGAAGCTGTGGATGCCCCATCCCTGGAAGTGTTCAAGGCCAGGCTGGATGAGGCTTGGAGCAACCTGGTCTAGTGGAAGGTGTCCCTGCCCATGGCAGGGGGGTTGGACCTAGATGGGCTTTAAGGTCCCTTCCAACCCAAACCGTTTTTCTATGAAAAAACGTTCTGGGGACAGTTTCCCAGCTGTTTCTTGCAGCATAAGTGCGTAGAACCTGATTTCTCATCACTGGTTTTTGCACGCAGTTCAAGTACTGCTAGGGCAAAAGCAGGTTTACAAAGTTGAGGTGGGAAGGGGTAGTGTTGTTTCAGGTGATGCAGAGTCAGGATAAACCTTTCCTCCTTTTGCTTAGGACCCAGTAACAGAAATGGCCAGAGCTCTTAAGACACAAACAAGGCCCTGCTTGAAAAATATCTAGAGGTAAAGGCAGGATGTTGCAAGGCCGAGTTCAGCAGCAGATTGGAGAGATGCTCCTCCAAAAATGCATAAAAAACATTAAGTACTGCTAGTAGAATCTACCACACACAGTACTGGAATAATGCAGTTAGAACACCTGCCCTGCCCCTCCATGCTGTGCTATGATCATTCCAGAGGCAGCCTCCCTGTATGTTTAAAACCCGGGGGAGGCAGGTGGCAGAAGGCACGTGCTTGAGCAATTCACATCTGTTGTTTCACTCTGTGAGATGCCAAGAATGTCATTGCTCCCAGTAAACATCCAGTGAACTGGCATTTATTTACAGGTTCAGTATGTACATAAAAGACCATCATGCAGCTTGAGAAATTCAGTCAGGGTAATAAAAATGTACAGCTTAGCAGTCAGTTTCCTTTTCCAGTGAAAACTGCTAGTGTAGTTAAGAGTTCACATAAAAAAAGTACATTAGCCAACTCTAAAGGCAGGATGCTTTCCACACAAAAACACACATTCTCTTAAGACTGTCGTTCACGTAACACTGGAAAGAGGCGCTTACGCTCGCAGGATGCTTGTCAGGCTTCAGTAGTAGTAATTAGTGCACTTAGAACTTGTTTGGCTGTCAAGTTGGAGTGGGTGGGGAAATAAATCAGTGTTTACAGTGAAAGGCTCAAAATTCTGGGAGTTGAATTTTAACTGCACAGTCCTGGACACTGCTTGTTTCTGGAGTTGAACAACAAAATAAAAAACACACCAAAAAACCACCAACCCAAGACCAACCCAATGCAGTTAACAGCACTGCTCTCCAGCACAGCAGTAGAGAAGGGCCTGTCCTGCCTTCTCCGTCCCGAGTGAGCATTCAGCTGCCCAGCAGCCAGTTCCCATTGATACTCCACATCTCCTTGGCACACCCCTGACGAGAAAGGCTGAGGGGGCTGGGCTTGTTTAGCTGCCTGCCTGCCCCGAGCAGGGTGCTGCGAAAAGCCAGCCTCTTGCCCTCGGTATAAGCTAAAACCTAAAGGGGAAAACCCGAGAGGAAAAAGGCGACAGCACAGCACTCACGAGGCCAGCGGTTCATTAAAGGCTTCCAGTGTTACGCAGCTTTCGGCTGCCTAAGGTTTTCCTACCCCCTGCAGAGCAGTGCTGCCTCTTCCTTGGCCTCTGGTCGAAGACAGCTTGTTTGAGCTCTTACAAGGTGTGTGCTGAGCAGGCTGTTGTCAGACGAAGCATGAGAGGAGGTGCCAGGACACTAGCGAAGGCCACGCTGCAGGGAACAAGGGGAGATGTAGTCATGATCCCAGAGCAGGCTCCTGTTGTCAAAGCAGGAACAGTTGGGCGATCACCTGCTTTCTAACAGTAGCCACGCCGATGCGATCGTGTCCATCAACAGCTCTTGTCCCAGACTCCAACCGCTTGGGATTAACTCAAACAGCACCTCGAGGCAAGCGGAGGAATCTCCACATGGCTAACGTCAACGAACACTTGATCACGTGAAGCAGCAGCACTGGCTCCTATCGCTCAGCACCAGCGCAGCTGCCATACAGAAGTCACTCCAAAATGCTGTTTCGAACCCAGAAATCCAAAGAATTCCAATCCTGTTAGGAAAACTGGCACCCACTGAGGTTAATCATGCTGAGCTACAGTGATCTAATAGCCTACGTATTTCATCTCCCTGGTGTTGAGTTTAAGACATGATTTCATGACCGACTCTAAAACCTAAGGCAACCTTTTTGCTGTGGCAAGCTTATGGCAAGAAGTTATTTTCAGTAGCAACACCTGCAGGTTCAGTATAATACCTCACACCTTAAAAGGCCAAAGGTCTGTGATTTGAAACCCCAGCAGGCTCGCTACTCAGGGTGTCTTATGTCATCCTGTTCAACAAATGTAACCTAAAACAATGCTTAGCAACTCTACTGAGTCCAAGACAATCACAAATATGACCCCCCCAGGCTTAGCACTGCTCCCGGAATATTTTAGAACTCTAATTACCAAATTACTGAGGGGATCCAGAGAAATTTCTCAAAGTGATGGCACCCCCCAGATCGGGGGAAGCAATTTTTAAGATGGGAAATGAAGACACAGCTATGGTGGATGGCACGTGATCTTCCAGAAAAAGGAAAAAAAGCTTGTCCAGACAAGTACAAGACTCCACTCAGTTCAATTTTCAACATTACTGTACCGATGCTGAAGCCCAAGTACGTCGTTCAGACCAAGACTCCGAAGGATGTCACACCCCGTACCGCTGTGATTCGGATCCGAGACCTGCTCCCACAGTTCCCATGGGCTCATAAGCACGCTGTCAGGAGCAGTTTCTTAGTTATGTGGGTGAACAAAACCTCCAAACCTGGTGTATGGGCCTGTTAGCTCAGCAAGGGTACTTCCTTCTGCTCTTTGGGTCTACCAAGCACAAAACCCACTGCGGTGATCCAAACGCCGAGTTGTACAGCCCAGCCTGCCACTGTCCCACTCTAGGAAGACCTGCTTTGTACTTGACTGCGGAACAGGAAAAGGCTGAGAAGGAAATGCATCTCAGATCCCGGGCGCTGCTGCTGGATTTTTCAAAGCTCGTTAGTATGACTTACGGCATCCCAGGAAGCAAGTAACAGTCCGGAAGTCAGAAAAGGAACTGGCTCAGTGCTTAACTTCACAGCTCAGCTCACTGGGTAAGGTGCACACCCTCAGAGTCACAAGTTTCACTGCAGCACCTCTGAAATACAGCAGGGAAGAGCTGAGTCACTTACCATGCATATAAAATTCTCAATTCTTACCTCATCTCCAAAAAAGCCAGATCAGTGCTTAGTAGGCTGAAAACCTGACAAAAGCCTGAGGAAAAGGCTACATAGGAACACCTACCAATGACGACTTGAGGCTACTGTGGAACAGAGCTGAAAGGCATCTGGCAGACCTCTTTCCAGCTGGCTCAGGGGCATTGCAGCCTCGTGGAGCCTCGTGCAGCACAGCAATATCCATGAGCAGTGCCTGGCTGCAGGATCACTTTTTAAGATGTACAGCAAGTGTTACATCAGCATTTTCTTTGGGGAAGCTAATTAAGGCAGCTCATTGAAACTCGTGACAAGTGAAAACCAGGATTATTTAAGCCTATACTTGTTAGAATATCGTACAATCATAGAATGGTTTGGGTTGGAAGGGACCCTAAAGACCATCTAGTTCCAACCCCCTGCCATGGGCAGGGACACCTTCCACTAGACCAGGTTGCTCCAAGCCTCATCCAGCCTGGCCTTGGACACTTCCAGGGATGGGGCATCCACAGCTTCTCTGCGCAACCTGTTCCAGTGCCTCACCACCCTCTCCGGGAAGAACTTCTTCCTGATATCCAATCTAAACGCTTGGGATTGCCCCACCCCAGGTGCAGGACCTTGCACTTGGCCTAGTTGAACTCCATGAGGTCGGCAGTGGCCCACCTCTGCAGCCTGTCCAGGTCCCTCTGGATGGCATCCCTTCCCTCCAGTTTCACGACGGCGCCGCACAGCTTGGTGTCGTCGGCAAACTCGCTGAGGGTGCACTCAGTGCCATCATCCATGTCACCGACAAAGGTGTTATAAACAGTACAGGTCCCAACAATGACCCCTGAGGCCGCTCGTTACCGGTCTCCACATCGTATTCCCACGAGTGAGAACTGCTGTACCTTCGCTCACAAGTCTGCGCCGAACTCGAGACAGGGCTTGGTGTGTCGGTATTGCATGATGTACACGGTGGATTGATGCCACCAGTACAGCATCACCACTGCAAGGATATGCCATACTTGGTGACTCGAGCCGAGGTAGTTCAACTGTCCTGGGGGGAGGGGAAGAAAGGGGGCAAGTGGTTAAGTTGTTCAATTCGGCAGTAACTCGTGCAACGCAATTAGCAGTCAGTCTCCTCCAAAGCTCAACTACACGCTCCATTTGCTGGGAGGCAGAGAAAGTTCTTTAAGGGACAGTCAGAGGTTGTCTGCCTTCTTTTGACGCAAATACGCGCGTTTCACTCTAAATGAGACTACTTCACGGGAACATGGCCGACCTGTTCTCTCACAGGAAGTTCAGGACTCACAGCAGGGGCTGTGACACTGAAGGAAGCTTAACTGCAGGAAAATAAAAAAAAAAAAAACACCCAGAAGAGAATTTCCTACCTGGGAAGTATCTTTCTGGAACTTTGGAAATATAGAAGAGAAAAGCTACAGCAGCGATGAAGTACATGACAACTACACGCGGAGCAAACTCCTGCAAAAGAAAAGGAAGCTCTCCTATTCTGTTAGAAGGTAAAAATAGGGAAAAAAATAAAAAGGGTTGCTAAAGATAAAAAAGAAGGCATGCCAAAACTTAATCTTACTTCAGGGCCGACTGGTATGGACCCAACAGGGAAACAAAAAAAAGTTAAGGAAAACCTGAATGGGAAGAAACTGGTTTTATCACACCTCTCTGCTTCAATACACAAGGTACTCGTGTTCCTGTGCCCCCTGCAGCAGACCTGAAAACTGTCAGCAAAAGGACATCTTCCAATGCATTGATCTTGGGCAGAATGGCCCCGATCAGGGAGACCTCAGTGCAAAAATCTCACTGGCGGGTTGGGATCGCAGTCGCTGGAACCCAAAGCCACAGCAGTACGACACTCTGGATGGTAAATAACCAAGCAACCCACTCAGGAGTTGCTTTTTGTCTTCCGTGACAGTTTTATAACTAGAAGTGGAGCGTTTTTTCTGAAGGATGGAAACAAAGTGGGTACCACACACACCGTTCTGATACACCAGGGAAACTAAATGGGGGAAGATGTGGGGGGCAATTACTGTTTTATCTGACTTTTTAGGAGGCCGGTGTTAAGCGCCCTGGCTGAAGACTACGTATACTCCTAAGTGTTGCTCTTCCACATTCAAGAGCAGCTCTGGACTGGGCTAAACCATCACCCCAGGTGACAGTCCTCCATCAGCCCGGCCTAAGAACGCACACGGTTACCGCTCGCTATGGAAAAGGAAACATTTTCTTCAGCACAGTTAGGTCCAAGGGCAATTCCAGTAATTCCAATTTTCATACAGGGACTTATTTACTGTTTTCAGCTGTACTGTGCTGCTTGTTTCTGAAAGCACAATTCTAAGTGGTAAAACAAGAACAGGAGAATCGTTGAGTAACTTCACAGTGATATTAAATGAGGGTTGCACAAGGGACAGAGGGCCGAGTAGGCAAATGCTGATTTTTGCTGCCAACCCAGGGAACAGAAGAGTTCCTGGTTCTCCTCTCGAGCTGTGGAGATGGACAGCCCAGAGCACTCCAGCAGCCTGACAGACTGCTTCCCACTCCACAGCCAACCCACCTCTTACCTCCTGTCCCTTGCCCTGCGGTGAGCAGGGTGCGGCCCACCCACACAGGCTGCTCTGGCCCTCGGGCAGATACTCGTTATCCTCAAATCCAGTTTTCCTTCTTGTGGTACAGTTTCAACCTACTCAACCTGTTTACGGCTTCTGAAACTTCCAAGTGTGTTTGCATTTGAATCGTGTGGTCTGAAAGAATTCTGTGCTAAGAGAGATCTTAATTCCCACCGCTTCCCCCCTCATTTCCCAAAGCACGAGAGGACTGAAGGAAGATGGCAAGCGAAAAGCATACAGGAATCTTGAAATCTTATTCCTGTCTTTTTTGCTTTTACCTGTACAATAGACGCACCGATGCCGTCATTGAGCCAAACCCAGTGGATGGTGGGAATAATTCCATATCCAGACACTGAGCAAAAGATGATGGAGCGCAGTCTGTGCCACTGTTGCGTGAGGTAACTGGGATGAATCTGAGCAAAAAATACTGCCAAGATCATTGCCAGCACAGTGATTAAGTACACCTGACGCCAGTACTGGGAAAGAGAGAAACAGAAGCAAGTTTGTGGGTTTTCTCATCGCACGTAAAAGTAAACTCTGGGTAGAAAGCTGACATTCCTAAACGTAACGATGCATCGACTCTCCCGTCACTGCTGCGAGCACAGACGGTGACATTGGAATGGACGCCCTCGTATTTATCAACCGACAGTCAGGGAGGGACTCTACTGCCTGGGTACACCTGGTACAACATCATTATTCCACGCGGTGCCTTCACCGAAACGTGTTCAACACCTCAGCAGACTTGTTCAACTACCTGATGCTGCATCCAGGGCAGGCGTGGATGTGATCTCGGCCTTGGAAGGGAACTCGTTTCACTTGTCCTCTACTAGGGGATGTAAAAATAAGTTTGTTTCTGCCTCACGTAAGCCCCCTTGTGGGAAATGATGTTTGAATTACGTGCGATGGGGATGCATCCCATAATCAGCCTCGTGCGTTTGACAAACGTAGAACCTGTAGAGTTTACCCTGTCTTCATAGAAATTCAAATATTTCTCGAGGCTTGTGTGATTGACAGCTTGAGAGGGAAACCTTGATTTGCCTATCGCCTCAGCGAGCGAAGTTCTGCTGGTGTCAGAGGGAACTCGTTCCAGTTTCCACCTCCTTCCACCCTGCAACAAACCCCCTTCCTACGGCGTGGAAGCTACGACACGACCACAGGAACTAAACGTTACAGGAACTTACGTTATTACAATAAAATGCATAAAACACGCCCGACACATAGCAGCCCAGGATACCGATGGAAATTCCCGCATAATCTAATGCCATCCATCGTCGGCTGGTCTTCTCTGAGCGGTGACAACAGAAAAGATGGTATCCTACTGAGCAAAGCATACAGACCTAAACAAAGGTTCAAACAAGGATGCGTTAATTTCTGACAAATTAACAGGGAGTACAGCAGGCTGAAACCTGAAGCTCGGCGCACGTGATTGACCTGTTGTGTGTTTTACAGTGCAACTCCGCATAGGCAACTACAATTCCTGCCAGCAGTCGACAGAAACTAACAGAGTTTCTCTTGCACATGGAAGAAGGAACAGAAAACTTCACAAGAATTCCTAAGCCCAAGTTGCACCGCTAAAAAAACCTGGGCTACTGGGGCCTACACCCCAAGGCCAAGCAAGGAGCCAGTACGCAAGAGAGCTGAGCCACGTCTGCAGGAGTACAGTGGGGTGATGATTTCTGCTTGGCCAAACTGCCCCGAGCAGAAATCAAAGCCCCAGCCTTGCCCTGACCGCCTAGCACCCACAGGACTTTACTGAGGGAACACACAGGAAATTTAACTCCCACGCACAGGCCGCTCCTTTGCTTCTCGGCTGGTGCAATTTCTTTCCCCTGAGAAATGTTTGTGTTTCTCTGCAACCTTCAACAGGAGTAGGGAGAGCACAACAGCAGTACTTTGCAAACCAACAAGGGGGTTTCCCCCGCTGTGCAAAGGTGTCCTGTACTCTTTAGGGAGCATGAACAGCGTTCTTCAACTCTTTGCACGTCGTTAGGGGCAGCGTGCTTGACTGGGGCTTCAGTGGTCAGATGATGACACGCTTGCAGCCTGCTGTTGAGAACAGATTTCATTTGACACGTAAGCCCTCGCTCTGAGCGGGTAAAGAGTTAGAATACAAGCCCTGCTGCCGTTCCAGACCAGCGCTGCGGCCGACTTTCATGTTCAGGTGGGTGACCCTCTCCCGCATCAACTGATGCTGTCTGGGAGCCACACAGGACACTGCCAAACCTCAATACCCAGCTGAAGCTGCGAAATACGGCCTTGGACAATTCAGTTGTTTCCACAGGCTCTCCTACACTGGCTACGTAGGGTTCTCCCTGGTTTATTCCATGTACTGCACAGGTCGAACCCAACTCAACCACCTGTCAGCTACCGTTAGCAGCAAGGCCGTTCAAACCCTGCCTCCCCGGGTCTGACCTCAGCCCGTCTGGCTCTGCAGCTCTGCCGGCACAGCGCGTGTGGAAGCCCTGTGAGCGGGCTTTAACGCTCCCCTCCTCGCGGAAAACGCTCCCACGAGTAAGCTCCCCACCTGGAAGCAGAAGAGGCAGACGGAGCAGATGACGAAGTCTTCCCGGGAGGCGCCGGCGGCCGGCAGGACGGCCGTCAGGTCGTAGATGCCCAGCGTGAAGAAGAGGACGAAGCCGAGCAGGTGGCTCCAGATGTTGACGGTCTCGTTGGAGAGGATGAAGAGGCTGCCAGGAGACACAACGGGCAAGGGGGGGGATGGTGTGAGCCGGGGCTCGGCCCGCCGGGCGCAGGGCGGCGCGGGGCG